CAACGGAGGCGATGGGGTGGGCGGGGGGGAGAATCACGTTGAAAAAAGCCCGCCCCCCCCCCGAGATACTAGTGGACGCGAGAGGGGAGCCGGGCACAGCACTGCGGGTTTTCCCCGGGGATCCCTCCTCTACGTGACTGGTGAAGTGAGAGCGCCCTCTCCTGTTCCCATCGCCTTAAGTGCACCTGTGTGCGGGGGGGGCAGGGATCTTTCTTTAGCATGGGAGCCCCTCCCAAATGGGCAGTGGTTCCTTACTATTGGGACTAGTCTGGGGTGGGCATACCGAGAGAGGGCAAGGACTCCGCTATATGTCCCCGGGGATCCCTCCTCTACGTGACTGGTGAAGTGAGAGCGCCCTCTCCTGTTCCCATCGCCTTAAGTGCACCTGTGTGCGGGGGGGGCAGGGATCTTTCTTTAGCATGGGAGCCCCTCCCAAATGGGCAGTGGTTCCTTACTATTGGGACTAGTCTGGGGTGGGCATACCGAGAGAGGGCAAGGACTCCGCTATATGGTGAGTGGGAAACACGGATGCGGCCCCTGGCTTGCCTGGATCCTGCTAACAAGGCTCAGGGCCTCTCCCCTGGCAGCATTGGGGAGCCCACACTGGCACTCCAGTCTGCCTGGCACTCCACTGCAGGGTTGGAGCACAGACTCTGCTAGGCTGGGGCGCTCTAGTGAAGAGGGGATTGTGGGGAGTGTGTTTCTTCTTCTCAATCCGGGGCCACATCACTGAGGGTTTGTAGGTTTTTTGCTTCTCACTTGTGAGTGGCCCCTGACTGATTTTTCTGTGGGTCAGCAGCTCATGCCCCAAAAAAGGTTCCCACCCCTGCTGTTACTGGTATGATTATATTGCTATAATTACAGAGTTAAGTTTTAAGGAGGGGGTGTCCAACCAGTTCTGAAGCAGTTGCCACTATAGTGGCTACTGCTATCGTGAACTAGGCACACTCGACCAGCTAGCCACATTGTTCAAGCCAACTAGCCCCACTCAACTGACCACGTGTGGCTAATGTGATGGATGCCACGTTTTAAGGCATAAGTGACTCCTAACACTGGGGAGGTGCACTGCCCCCTATGCCCTTGCTAAAATTTTGATGTTCATCCTAAGTTTGACCACCTATAATTGCAAACCACAGAACTTGACCCACCCATTCCTGTAATAGACCTTTCATTTTTGGTTGAGTTACTGAAATCCTCAGATCATGGCTTAAAGACTACAGTTACACAAAATGCACAGTTAAAGTTGCATACAATCCACCCATTTAATAGTGTAACTCCCCACACAGAAAGTGATAGTGGTATAGTTACATTGTTAAAGGTATGCTGACATTTACCCATATGGAAGACTAGGAGTATGAGCAACTAGTTGACTATCTGATAAGCAAATACTTATTCGATAGTCGACACGCTAGTCAACTAATTATCTTCCAGCCCCCTCTCCCACTTGCTGCCTCTATGACTACATCTAGACTACAAGCCTCTTTCGAAAGAGGGCATCTAGACTGCAACCTCTTTAGAAAAAGCAAGCCGCTTTTTTGAAAGAGAGCACCCAGGTATTCTGGATGCTCTGTTTCAAAAAAGCCCTGTTTGCATTCAAGAATGCCTTTTTTCGAAAGAACACTTTTGAAAAAAGGCATTATTCCTTGTGAAATGAGGATTACCGCCATCGAAAATATGGTTTTTTTTTTCAATTTAATTTTGAAAGAACGCGGCTGCAGTCTAGATGCAGGTGAAGTTTTTTTGAAAAAAGGCTACTTTCTTTTGAAAAAACCCTGCAGTCTAGACACAGCCTATCAGAAAGAGGCAGCAAGGAGGGGATGAGGAGGAAGTGCTTCAAAGTGGCAGCGCTGCATGAGGCATTTCAAAGCGGCACCGTCGCGTGAAGCCCAGACTCACTGCCGCCTTGGAACACCACAGGGAGCTCAGGGCCAGTGGGGTTCTTCGCTGCCCTCATACTCCCCACAGCGCTTCCACCTTTGAAATGTAGCAATAGCTGTGGGGCTGTGGCTACACTTAAAGGCAGCTGTGCCCTTATCGACTAATTGAATAGTCAATTCAGATTGCATTGACTATTCGATTAGCCAATTAATTGAAATTTTACATGCCTAGTGTAGACAAGCCCTGAGAAAGATGTAGTGAAGTTGGAGGAAAAAGCTACTTGAAACCAGTAGTTCATGTTTTTTTAAAGACAATTTTATGGTTTTGGAGAGCCTTGATTTACAATTTTTTAATCCTTGGGGTTGGCAGAACTGAAGATGAGTGAAGTACAAGAACATAATCAGCAGAAATTAGTGACAGTAAATTATACCAATTTGTGTACTTTTAAATTGAAAGATTTGTAAAGCTGGGGACTGTTTTGGTATGTAATTTTGATTATTTATAATGCCCGTAAGTATTAGTTTTCGTACAAACAGAATTTATCTAGTTCTCTTCTTCTTCCCCTTTTTAATAGTTGTCCAGAAAATAGAAAATGTGGCCTTGATTTTTTCTTTAGTCTTCACTCTATGCTGTTAGAAATACTCCAACCAGCTCTGATATTGATCTCACTCCACTTCAGGGGTTGTGTGTAGGCCCAGAGGGTCACACACATGGTTTTCTTTGCAGGATTGGGGCCTTAACCTCTAACCTTAATGCCACAGAACTGGCAGATGAAGAAGTAGTTCAATCCACAGATTCCTGTGGATCGGGCCACTTTGCGTGGAATTAGCTTCTAAATTATAGCATCTAAAGTCAACCCAGTGGCTTGACAAAGCATTTGCAAACAGGAGCCAATTATTTTAAATAATTTGCTTTTATTTTCCTTAAAAACAATGAAGAATCCTATGGCACTTTAAAGACTAACAAACGTATTTGGGAATAAGCTTTCATGGGCTGCAGACCACTTCGTCAGATGCATCAGGACTCCTTCTTGTTTTTGCTGCAACAGACTAAGATGGCTATCCATCTGAAACTTAATTTTCCTTGTTATATACTTCAGGGCTGTTGTGCTTAGCTTTTCATTGGGTACTTAAAGGCTACGTCTACACTGGCATGATTTTCCGGAAATGCTTTTAACGGAAAAGTTTTCTGTTAAAAGCATTTTCGGAAAAGCGCGTCTAGATTGGCAGGGCGCTTTTCTGCAAAAGCACCATTTTCGCGATCGGGGCTTTTTTGCGGAAAACAGTACTTTGCTGTCTACACTGGCCCTTTTGCGCAAAAGTCTTTAGGAAAAAGACTTCTGCCTGAACGGGAGCAGCATAGTATTTCCGGAAAAGCACTGACGATCTTACATGAGATCGTCAGTGCTTTTCCGGAAATTCAAGCAGCCAGTGTAGACAGCTGGCAAGTTTTTCCGGAAAAGCTGCTGATTTTCCGGAAAAACTTGCCAGTCTAGACACAGCCACAGTGTATTTCTAACCTGAAAAGTAACATAATAAAAGTGATGTTGTGGAGGTCCATATGTTGTGTGCCACCCTGATTTTATACAAAATTTAATATACAAGTAATTTTTTCTCTGTACTTATTAGTCCCACATGTGCACTGTATTTCTGAAGGAAAAAAACCTTAGATTTTTTTCCTTCAAAACATACAGTGCATATAAATATAATTGCATCATTGCCAGAAATAAGTACAGTTCTATCTAGTGTAAATAAATAGCCTCTCAGGCACACAATTATTCCACCGCACATTAGGGATATAAGTGACTAGTCAACTATCTGATAAGCATATGCTTATCGGATAGTCTATTAGTGATTCAGCTGGTTGTCCCTCCTCCCTTGCTGCCTCTATCAGAGAGCGGCAGTAAGGGAGGAGCAGGAGCCGGTGCTGGGGGGAACCCTACTTAACAGCCGGTTCCCCCAGCACTGTCTCCATCGGAGATGGGGGGGTGGACGCAGGGACACAGTAGAGAATTAGCAGCGCTTCTGCCTATGAAATATAGCAAGAGCGGGGCCAGTGGGGGGGACTGCTTGAGTCCCCCGCTGGCTCTGTGCTCCCCATACACATCTTCCTTTGAAATGTAGCAAGAGCTGGTGGGGCTCTTGCTACATTTCAAAGGAGGAGGCGCCCTTATTGACTAATGAAATAGTTGATGCAAATTTAATCAACTATTTGATTAGTTGATTAATCTAAATTTAACATCCCTGCCCCACACACCTCCGCTGGTTCTCTTCATCTTCTCACACTTCTTGGCCAGCCTGGGCTTTTCTCTGCCCCTGTTCCCACCTGACAGCTCCCTGTCCTCCCCACTCCTTGACCGCTTCCACTCCCTCCACCCTCCTGCCCATTGCCTGCTCCTTTCAGCTGGTGTCCGCCTGCCCCCATCACTGGCAGGCAGCCACCAGTGGAGCTGAGAGTGAAGAGAAGCCCTCAGCCATTGCTGCTCAGGGCCAGCCCTATGACTGTCCCTGTGACTAGATGCAGCAGTCTGGGGAAGTTGTTGGCTGTCTCCCCTGCCAGACACAACCATGCAAGGAAAAGCCTCCGAAACCATCAGCACCACCAGCACCTGGATAGTAGGGTTGGGTGGGACCCGGGAGATGGGGCTGCTCTGTGTTTTTGAGCTTCCATTGTCTTGTCTCCTAGCACTGTGCTGAGAGCATGCCTCCCCCAGGCCTTTGGTTCCCCAGCGCTGCTATATAGCTCGCACAAGGATGAAGTTTAACTTCTGTCTTTTAGTTAGATACGTAAAGAGGTGTTCCTGGGCCGGGGTGCTGATTTTGGAGGGATATAATCTCTGTAATGATGGTTTGCGTGTTTTGTTCCTAATATGTTGGCTCCCGAGGTTCCTTTTAATGTATTTGGCAGCTGCCGGGAGGGAGCATCGTGAGCATACTGTTTGGATGATTTGTTCACAGGTTAAAAGAAGATGGGATTCATATCTCATACTTTACCAAGGGCTCCAAAATACCCGTTGCCAGCCCTTTAAACAAGAACACCCAGAGCCATCAGCGTGATAACTGAATGTCATGATTAATCCAAACACATCTTCTTAAAATCTGGTGTACAGCAATCTTTGGCTAATAGCTTTTTATGGCAATTTCCCCCCCTTCCTCTAAGCTGGATTCAGAAGGGAAGCATCAAAAGCAGATCTGCCAAGTTGTTTTGGATCACTTTGAGAAGCAATACATGAAGGAGCTGGGAGAGGCCTGGAGCACAGTCAGGTTATTTTTTCTCTTTTCATTACCTCTTAACTACCAAGAACTATATAGAACGCAAGCAGACTGGAAATTGTGCTTCTATTATTTTAAGTATAAAATTAGGATACCAGTATGAAATGATAGGTGAGTACTGTCACTGTTAACTCTAGTTAAGCATCTGGGAAAGGAGGGAATGTACAGGAAAGATCTAATTGCCCGATATAGAGAAAGTTTTGGTAACAGGAGCCTTCTTCTTATTAACATGGAATTTTATCTTTTCATTTTTGGTGGGGCATTGTCTGTCTGAAGTCAAAAGGACTTTGCTTTGATTCCAATAGCACCAGGATTTGGCCTCAAGAAACCCCTTGGTGTTATCCGAGGAGGGGAGGTGCATCATTGAGTGTCATACTTTATATATCCTGTAGCAAAGTATTGAAAAGTGAGGAAATAATAATTATATCAGAAACAGTGACCAAAAAAAGGTAAAAATAACTTCAGAAACACTCACCAGTATAAAAGAGGAATCATTCCAATTGCATATCAGACTTGATTTGTCATTTGCCATATTTATTTTCCTGGATCCTTTTCTATGCTGTGTCTGATTAAAATAACATCATTTTCCAAATTGCTAGGATGGTAAAACATAATTCAAATATGCTTCCCATTAGATGGTTTTCTGGACTGTGTGGACAGGACCAAACCATGATGGGATAGTTGCAGCAAACTATTTTAGAGTAAGTCAGAGGCTATTATCAAACACTTTATTTTTAAGCACTTCTAACCCTTTTTGTCTCTATCTGAATAGGCTAGTCAAATTGTTTAAAAAAAACAACCCACAGTGCCTTCTCAATTTTTTTTAACAGTTTTCAAAGAAGATATGGGAACCCAATAAACAGATTTGAATCTGGTAATTTGCCCTAGCATTAAAAACATATATAATGTAGGGATGTTGAAACATGGGTAATTGTGTAAACATGTAACCAGCGGTTACACACACCTGCATCTGGCTCCCTGGGAGCTGGCTGCCATCCTGTGTTGCTACCTTTGTATCATGTTAAATACTGTTTACTTACACCGTTATACACTCAAATTCCTATTATAATGTTTACTTTTTCTTCGCTGTTTTCCAGAAGGCTTCATGAAAGGTGGTTATCAGTGTTAGATGAAATGTATTTAATTTGGTGCTCATGTAGTGTGTTCTTAAATCCATTTCTAGCTTGGAATCACTTTTTAGTTTTATGGGTTCCGTTAGTTTATATCTATCAGACAAGTCCATGGTGTAACTTATGTGTCCCAAAATGGAAATGCTAACAAAACACTGGGGTATTTTTCCCCAAAGGTATGCAAAAAGGATCCCAAATCAGCAAACACAAAACACTGGGGTATTTTTCCCCACAGGTATGCAAAAAGGATCCCAAATCAGCAAACACTGTTGCCTTTTCAGTGAAAATCAAAAGCATTATACTCTTTCTCAGACTGTCCACTCCCCCATCCCACACACACACTGATTTCAGAAATGAAAATTTCATTATTTGTAGAGGCCTTTTACTGTGTGACAAGTTTTAGTATGGAACAAAATAGCTTTTATTTCTGAGAGCCACACTATTACACAGTGATTACAGGCAGTCCCCGGGTTACGTACAAGATAGGGACTGTAGGTTTGTTCTTAAGTTGACTTTGTATGTAAGTCGGAACTGGCGTCCAGATTCAGCTGCTGCTGAAACTGACCAGCAGCTGACTACAGGAA